AAGGTTTAAGAAGCAACGCACCTTTCTCTTCCAGAGATGCTCTACTCATTTCAATGCTTTTCTACTTTTTTCTAACCGAGTAAAAGTCTTCCCGAAAATGAAAAGTTACCGGAATACAACTTCCCAATGACAAAAGATTCGAAACGTGCGGTCCTGGAACGATCGGCCAAGCACTGTGCTGACTGCAATTCAGCAGTTTGAGTTGGCCAAGATGATTACTCTACTCGAGAAATAATTCACAAATAATCGGTAAAAACCTGTCAGGTCATAAATTTCAGAATGGCAGCTTCCACCGAACAAAACGAAGATGTTGTTCTAGCATCTTTTGCCACGCTTTCCATTCTACAACTCATAAAAGATGCACAACAAAAGCATGGACTTCGTCATGGAGATTATCAACGTTATCGGTTCGATACTCGATTTTGTTTCACTTAATTTTCTAATTACCAAATTCCCATCCATAAGTTTTGCACGGAGTGTATTAAAGAAAAGAAGTGAGTTGTGTTTATTGATCTATCAGTTTTCAGAGGATATTGTGCAAGGCGTGTACGACGTATTCGTAAATCGTTAAAGTATACTCATGTCCATAAGAGTGTTCCAAAACATCCAGCAAAATTTACAGCACGAAAAATTATTTTCGATGTGGTATCAGAAGAAAGGTTATTATTACTCGGTGGTTTATTTTGAATATTGATGCGAAATGTTTATTAATGTGAATTAAGATATTTACAAGTGGCGGTATTTGACGCAGAACGGAATTGGTCTTATGCAATGCAGCTGAAACAAGAAGCTGGAGAGGACGTACATTCAAGAAAGAGATTTCATATGGCCAATAAATTGAGGAAGGCTGTTCAGCACACTAGCAATCTCGAATCGATCGTTCGGATGTGTGATAGGGTGCGTGACTTGATTGTTGTTCATGCCTTATTGTAACGATTATTTGCTCTAGGCAGATGCCGCAACAAAGCTAGAAGCACAGGCATACAATGCGTGGATGACCGGTTATTTGTATTTTGAGTTGAAGCAGTGGAAGAAAGCACTCGACTTTCTAAAGACTGCGAGGTGAGGTTTCTGCTTCGATTAGTGATTTCATTCGCTCTGTGTTATTTTTGCAGGAGAATTTATGAGAAGTTGGCTGATGTTGGAAAGTTTCGTGAATTGGTCGATCTGTATAAGGCGAGGTAAGGCAATTTTCTATCACTTTGGCCATGTTTTCCGCATTCGATTTCAAATTACTGATAGGGTTTTGCGTATTAATTTGATAAGTTCAGGTGTCGCGAAATTCAACCACAAATGAGGTATTGTGAGTTTAATTGTGGGGATACGGAGATTCAGAACACTGATGCGGCGATGTCGGAGATGATTAATATGAGACTGAAATTGGGGAGTGACGAAGGGTCATTGCAGGATGATTTTGATGTGAGTTATTTGTTATTCAGTTGTACATAAGCCTCTTCAAGATAACTGGAGTAATCTCGAAGAGGCTCGTGTACATTAATCCATGTTTGACGAGCTATTTCGCATACATTGTCTTGCCATCTCATTTTCGGTCGATTTCCACCCGATTTCTATTTGTCTTCTTACTTCGGCTTCCCCTTCCATTTTGATTATTATTATGTAATTGCTTTCAGAAGTTAATCTCGGAGATGCGTACGAAAGCAACAATGGATTCAGCTTGTGAGATTGGTTGGGCCGGTGAGAAAATATTGGTGAAGAATGATGAAGTAAAGCAGTTGTTACAGGCAGTGGAACAGTTCGATGCACAACTGCAACAGACCGCATCGCATGAGGACAAGGTTGCGTTTTGTTTTGATGTTTCTTTGTTTTATAGAAGTTAATTGCAGTTAGCGCTGTATGAGCGGTTGTTGAGTGGTGTGCGAGATACGATTCAGTTGTGGAATGATGAATTGAAGAAGTCTAGTGGGGGTTTATTCTCGGGGGGTGCGGGCACTCCATCAGATAGCGATGCATCCGCGAGTCAACTGATAAGTGCTTATCTGGACTTCATTCGACTCACAAAGACGATTCAACGTTACATGCTCATCGTTTCATATACCAAGTGTGTTTATTTTGTTTGGTGCTTATTTGTTTGTTTATTCTGACGGTTGATTTGCAGAAGTCAAACGGAAAAGAAAGTGAAACCTCAAGATTTGCTGCGTTTGTACGATTCAATAATCGAGAGTTGCTCTGATATATTGCAATTGCCCGGTGCTCAACACATCAAAAGTGTATTCGTTGCTAAAGCGGAATATTGTCGTGCTTTCAGGTCATTATTTATTTCATCAATTACGAGCTTTGTTATCACATTCTTCTTTCATTGACGTCGTTCTTTGCGCGCAACTAACGATAATAATCATTTGTCTCCATAAAGTTCTAATATGAAACATTGGTTTGACGAGCACAGAGGTTTCCAGCTACTCTTCTGTATTGCCCAAAATTTTATTACCGTTGTTGTTACAATGAAATTTAAGATGTTATTATATGGCAGAGGCATATGCCGGACAATCGAAATGGCAAGATGCTGTAGCATTGTATGATCGTGCGCAACAGCGATGTGATGCTGCTCTAAAATCAGTGCAGTCGATTAAAGAGAGCGTTTATTTTGAGAAGAATGCAGAGGTTTGTATACATCTTGAGGAAATTCTTTGATTGGGAAAGAAATTCCTCAATTGATTAAAGGATGAACTGAACGATCTGAGTAAGCAAATAGTCGCATCGAAGTATATGACCCAAGCGAATCGATTGGCTGAGGCAGCTGGGCAAGGCAACGACGAGCAATCGAGTGGTGTAGTGGATACGAGGGTAAGAGTATCAGTATAATTGAGCATCACTACAGTTGCAATTTGCAGTCGCTGTACGAAACACTCGATGAGTATCGCACAGTCTCGGTGGATGATCTTCTCAGAAGCGAATCAGTCAATGTTGTATCATTACCACCGAATTTCATCGCAACGCCCAACAAGCCGATGTTCTTTGATTTGGCACTTAATCATATCAAAGTGAGTTTGCTGTTGTTTGTCTTTCTTTATTCTCATCATTCACCTTTCAGATGCCTGATTTGGAAACGAAGATATCGTCGTTCGGTGACGATCATTCGAGTAAGAGATCGACCCCGTCGAAACAGCCAAGAAAGGGTGTGGGTTTGCCCAATGACAATGCGTCTTTAGAGGGCATTAGTGGCTTAGTCAAGGGTTGGTTCTGGGGCAAGAAATAGCATTGTTCATTCATTAATTTGTTGAAATTATGGCTTTGTGATTTGAACTGTTTGATGGTTGAATAATGATTGTAATCGAATCTTATTATTGTTATTATATTGTTTATTTATTATTATTGATGCGCTTGGTTTGTTTTTTGTAGTTTTTGGTTATTGTATTGGTTAATTGGAGGATGAGACATAATGATTTCATTTGAGAAATAAACACTTGGAGATGAATAAAGTTTCGTTATTCTGAACGGAGCGTGGTTGATCAATATAATCATAGCCGTAAAGACTTATCTGCTTCTGAACATTCGATTCCAAAAACCGTTTAATATGCCTTAACATTTCCGATCAAAGTTGATTGCATGTTGCAAAATGCTGAATCTCGGCTACAATATGATGCGCACCCAATTATTTCTCTGAGAATTTCAGTTAGTCGAGATATATTAATTATGACTACTGAACATTACCACTGATCATTCTGAATTGTATAACTCTTGTAAGTTGGCGTCTCCGATCAAAGTTTATTTCATGATAGCAAACTGCTTAATATTATCCTGTTGATGGTGTGTGTATACCGCTGAATCGTATCGAACGTTTTTCAGTTTCGTTCATATTTTTGGTGTTGTTAAATAAGTTGGAACTTGGTAATAAGCACAGTTGTGATACGAAAACATTTTTAGAAACAAATGCAAAAAAGTGAAGAGAGAACATTGTATGAAGATACATTATCGAGATTGCAACGGTGTTTGTTGTTACTGGATAATTTGAAAAAAGATCGTGATAAGGAAAATTCGAGTGGAATAAATGAAGAAGAGAGCGGCAGTGGTATTGATATTGTGAACTATGAGAGTGAATTGCAGATGGCTGATATAATGCAGCTGATAACGAAGGATCTATCAGAGCCTTACTCTATTTATACGTATCGTTATTTCATTCATAATTGGCCGAGTCTGTGTTTATTGGTCAGACTTTAATCTATTCAAACTTTGACTTATTGATGACTGTTTGTGTCAGAGTGGTTATTTGAGGCACTGGATAGAAAGACCGAGAAGTATGTGGGTGCAATAGTTTGCAAGTTGGATATAAGTAGACAGAACCGAAGGCGTGGTTATATCGCGATGTTAGCGGTGGACGAGTCTTGTCGAAGATTGGGAATAGGTTAGTGTTGTTGTGTTGTGTTGTTGTTAGTGTTATAATGATAATGATTAAGGCACTCGATTAGTACAACAAGCCATCAGGAATATGCAGACGACGGGATGTGATGAGGTTGGTTGTTATTATGAGCACTGAACTAGTATTGTTGTTGTTGTGTTAAGGTAGTGCTCGAGACGGAGGTGACGAATGTGAACGCGATCCGATTGTATACGAATCTGGGGTTCATTCGTGAGAAGAGATTATACAGATATTATTTGAATGGTGTTGATGCATATCGATTGAAGTTGTTCTTTAATTCATCTTTAAACTCGTTTAATAATTTTTGTAATATCATTAATAATAATAGTAATTGTAATTAATTCTGATATTCTGATCATGAGTTGTTGAATATTTCAGTAATATTGTGATTATTATTAGCGTGATATGAAGTATTATTGTCGTTTTGATTGTGTTTCGTGGATAACAAATGCGATATTGAAGTTCACATATTATACTTTGTACGATTCATAATAAATTCAGATACTTGTTATATCATATGACATTAGTTGTAATATGATAAATATAAATAAGGTGTACTGTAGAAGGCATGTAAGCCATGCGGAGATCAAAAGAAGCCTTTCGTAATTGTTCGTTCGTAGAGGATTACAGTATGCTTGTTGAGTATTAGTGCAGTTATTATTGTTATGTTGGGTAGGCATATTCTTAGTTGTTGACAAGGAAATAATTTCATCAATTGGTGAATTTTGAGACGAGTAGATCTTTAATTCATTGATCGTATATTTTGTGGTAATGTTGAATTAGTGTAATGTACCGTATAATGAAGCCTTTTTGGAGTTGAAGCCTTCGGGAAATTATTGTTATAAATAGTTGAAGTTTGGTGGTAGATTCATTCGATTTGGTGTTATCGGAATGGAGTTATATATCGTGCGCACAACTGAAGTTATCAACTTTTTGCGACAAAAGTTTATATTATAAAATACTTTTGTATTCAACAAGTTGATATTTTAATTTGTGTTTCCTTACAGCACACAAACACTAACATTGTTAGTGTTTGTTATAATAATATAAAAATTCGGCGTTTTGATCGATGCTTAACCACCTGTAGGGATGTGTTCCTTGAGGGGTTTTGCATTGACATAAGAATCTTTTGAAGATGTTCATCAATTGTTTTGAATATACCTTCAAAGATTGACTTAATAATGGAAGGAGATTTGTATAAAGAGTGTTATCACTTATCTATCTAATATGATTTCAGTTATTCGAACAATTCTTTGTAATCTCATTTAATAGACTATATTTTATATAATTAAAACCTAAATTCTATATCGAATCGGAATTACTCACATTCTTAATGCATATTATTTAATTGAACATCCTACAACCAATTAACAATAAATGCTCGTTGCTACAAATAATTTGCATAATTAAACAGCCGAACACCAATGCACTAAATAATCGCTACAACGATAACTTTTTGCCGATTGCACAAAGCGATCGGCGAACCAATCGCTCTGTGTCCAAAAAACCTCCCCAAACCTCAGTAGATGTACAATAGCAGTGAATAAATAAAAATAAGCATTTGAAGGATACGTTTTATGATTTGTGGATTACAAATGAAATGAATTTATTATTATTAAAGGGAGTACGAATAAGAGAGTGTATCTTTGGTTATGGTATTACGTGCATCTGTTCTCTGATTGTTGCAATTATTATTATGGGAGGGATTTATTTGTTTGATGCTGTGTGTTGATTACGGTAGCAGAAAGAAGTGTTGCGTTAATCGTTATTGCTGTTATTAGTACAGTTGATTGGTCACATAGGCTGTTGACGGGGTTTGCTTCATGTATAATTATTGATAAGTAACCTGAAAGAACGGACGTATAAATAACTGAATAATCGAAGAATGCTGCTATTCGTAAGATAATTGCAACAACTTAAAATAATGTTTATTCTTTATTACTATTTTCACCATTGTTATTATTATTGTTATTATGATATTACTATTGTATTTATTTCCATTATCATTTATTATAATCATATTTATTATTACTACAAGTACAAAACAGTAAACAGTGCACAGAATTGTAAATATTCATCGAAATGCATCCATATAAAATAAACAATCAAATAACGTGTGAGTAAAAATAATAGATTTTGTCTTTAATAGCCATAGATAACAGCACTTCGTTAATATTCTAATAATAATGATTTACTTTCACCGTAAAAACGTGATGAATACGTGCTAGTTTCATCTCTAGGCGGGGTATGGACCACGTCTTGAACGCTCTCTGGAGAATCCATCGCCTGACGTTCACGCTTCCATATTCTCTGCTCTTCCTAGCGGAACATCTCCTTTTCCTCACCTGACACAGTCCCTCCAAATCCCTTCCCCTCCCATTCCACAAAAACCTTCAAAGTTCCATTTATAAATACCAATTCCCGAATCATTCCTCAAATTCAATCCAAAATGTTCAAATTCATTCACTGATTCAAATAAATGTCTAATTTTCCTCTTCCACAAAACCCCGTCAACAGCCTATGATATATAATTAGCCCTCTCAAATTGTTTATTGCTGATAACATTTAGGAATTGGGAATGGCATTTGAATGATGGCGATATGATAACATAGTTGATGTTATATAACGTTAATTAGACATTTATTTGAATCTATGAAGCAGTTTGAGCATTTTAGATCGACCGATTTGGAAATTGGTGTTTTTAATGGAACCCTGATGGTTTGTGTGGAATCGTGCATGTTGAAGGGGTTTAACTGAATGCTTGACATTATTAAAAATGTTTTATTTTCTTAAAAGTTGTTTTTGTTCATAAGCACACCTATGTACTTCAACTGGGAACATTCCATATATTCAGAGCGGTGTTATGTCGATGAATTATTACTTGCAGTGTTTTCGAATTAATTTAGTGGTTGAAGTGATTGAAAATAGAGAAATATCGTTTTGGATATATGTTACTCTTTGAGTCGAGTTTCTGGATGCGTCGTTGGATTTTGTTCGAAATGAGAAGTTAGTGACGTTCAGCTGAAGTGAAAATATCTCTGATTTTCTCGGTTAGTGATGTTCTTGAGTGATATTTGCAATAAAATTTATATTTACTTGAACGCGATCAGAGTTTCAAGACGTTTTTTCGTGTGCGTTGAATTGGACACGCATTTTCAACGAATTTGGCGATTAGTCCATTGCAAAGGGTGATGTGACGTGTTGCTGCTCTGGTCTCAAATGATGAGACTTGACAAACCCGGAAACACTTGCTGATCAGAGTTCAACAATTGGGTTGCTTTGATCCGGTAATAGATCCTGGCTTGAGCTTCAGGTTGAGAAGGGGTGTGAACCTGAGGTTAGGGTTGGATCTGAGTGCGAACTTGATTATAATTCTAAACCGTTATGTACTTTTGAGACCTTCGGCAGCAACGTGCTGACACCACTCGCAATTTTTTTTTCAAAGCAGTTGCATTCTTATCGATTTCTTAATTGTTATCATTGAATACTTTTTGTCGACTCAATTGTTTACTCAGCTATTTACTGTTGTTCACTCAATTTCGATTGACAACTCAGTCATGCTAATACCGAATGAAATGAATCTATAATGCACGGTATTCATTTGTTCATGATGTTGTTGATTTGTGTACGGCGCAGAGCATTCGTTCTTAATCTGTTTGAATCGTATTGGGCGCAGAGCATTCGCTCTTGATGTGTTTGAAGTTGGTTCTTAATTATCAGTGATTGTGATTGGGTGCAGTTTATCTACTTGAGATCATTATTATTCATTTGTTATTATTTGTTTGCAGGTTGCTGTTATTTGTTGCTCACGGTCTAATTTTTTACACATTCCTTTTAACAATAAATTAACCCGTTGTCTTATTCTTGTTCAGTCCATCGGTTTTCTTCTAATCGAGATTAAGTTCTTTTGTAAAGTTCTTTTGTAATTTCCACGACGTTTGCTGTTATTGTTGATGCACATAACTGTGCAGTTGATAAGTATATTTGGATGTTATCAGTTGTTTTTTATCAAGACAGCAATAACAAACAGCAGTATGCCTCATGTGATCGTTCATTACTCTCAATCAAAATAACTGCTGTAATGCTCATTTTGGATTGCTCGTGCGCTTTTCCTTCACAATTTGAGCATTTAGAGGTGTGCGTGAATTTTTGTTTGCAGTATGAAAAAATGTGGTGGAAGATTTTCAATAAAATATAGATGATTTAAAATCATTTTCAATAAAAAATTTAAATCAAGTTTACATGCATATTTAAAGTCATTTAAAATCATATTTATTGACCGAGTATTTATTATATATTGTCACATGATCGCGAGCGATTTCATTCCTCTATCGCCGTTCTAAATTGCACACTTACATGGAATGTATAGAGTACTCAAAAAGTGTGAAGATATTCAAAATGCCTCCAAATTTCTCGAATCTGTCGTAGAGTCTATGAAATATATTTGAATTGTTTGGAGATGTATCACTCGACATACTGAGTTATGCGATTTCAACGGGAAATAACTAATTATCAATTAATGAGTGTTTATTTTCAGAGAAGCTCAGTGCACCTCTTCCATTATCTCGTTCAATTTTTTGTCTATCCTCGTTTTTAATTTGTTCGTTCCTCTTTTATCTCATAACGCTTATATCATGAATCTCATAACGCTCATATATCTTGAGAAGGGGATAGGTAAATTAAGGGGAATATATCAATTGTTAAGCAGTACGAGAGAAGTTTGTGAAGTATCCGAGGAACAGTGACGTGGTCTAGATTTTTTCCGGGGGAAGGGAGCGCAAAACGGTCTGGTCACAAAAGACAATTGGATTTTGGAGTGGATATTTTTTTGTTTATTTTTTCTTCCTCCTCCCTCTGTTCCGTCTAGGGTTTGCAAAATCCCGACGTTTTTCCAATCCTGGGATCGGGATTTGATCCAGGGATCGATTTTTGATCCCGGAATAGTCCCGGTATCGAACAATTTTTGTAATATCGATGCGGGACATGTTCAAACACATTTTTTCGAACCAATATGTTCATTATTAATCAGAAAGGAGTTAATTCGATAAATTATTGAACAAATTCGAGGAACCAAATTATTCAAACTCAAATTAATATTTCATATAATGTAGCTAATGATCATGCCGCAAGGGCATACTGCATTTTCTATGCTCAGCATCTTGTCGTCTCGGGTCTAAGCTAATAACAGTACACTTGCATCTGAATATGAAATTCTTGATTCTTAAACATTTATTTACAGTGCTTCAAGTCCATTTTTTCGCAGTATTAACGTCAGGTAAATTCTGCCATTTCGGAAATTTCGATTTTCTACGAAAGAAATGCACCGCATAAATTATATCATTTGAATTTTGAAAAAATTTAAAGTTTAGAGTTTATCTAAAAAGTGAAAAAAAATCCGCAATGGATTTTCATCGAACCATCGAGCACGTACATGGTTGATAATTTCGATCAGAGATCATGGAAGTGTACTTGATAGTTAAGCTTAAGATCCTTTCTAATGGAACAAATTCCCTTACTTCGACTGTGAGTTCTCACCATGAGTGAACTCAGTGAGAATTAATGTACATTTCGATTGGATGAAAGTGTTTCCAAATAGCGAAGTAAAAAGACTTGCAGTCTTTAGAACATGCATTTGAATTAAGAGATGGAATATTGAAGCCGAAAAAATCGCGTTGGAGGAAACGACTCAAAATTTCGTTGAACTTTGTTGCTCTTGGTTCTTATTAGAAAATGTGATCATCTCCGTTAGTATGCATAGAAATGCATCTAGATGAGCGTGATGTAAACCAATGAAGAGCAGAATAATCAGTTGAATATTCAATGAAATGTCACGTAAAAGTTCATCGAACTGTCGTTGGTCATGTCATTCGTCCAACTTGCGTCTACTTCCTTAGCTATTCATCAATGATAGAGTGCAAACAGCAAAGATGACTGCATATGAATGAGATGAGAATAATTAAGGTTTGCTTCAAGATGGGCATGCTATCAAAAATCACACAAATTGACCTGTTTTATCAAATCCCAAGATCCCGGGATTTTTCAAAACTTAAATCCCGGAATCGTGATCAGAGTTGAAGTCCCGAGATCCCGTGCAAACCTTAGTTCCGTCCTTTTCCCCTTCTGTTTCCCACTTCCTTCCCCATCTTTTTGATTCCCACTTTCCTCTTTTTTCCAGCCTCCAGGCAAGATCACTCCTCGGATGCGTCTATGCGGAGGGATATACTGTGAGTCTCAGACGGTTATATGGTTACCTCATATCAAACAAACTATGCTGATATTCATATTTTGGTTGAAGTGACCAAATTATTATTTTGATTGTTGTTGTCTATTTCAATATCTTTTGCGTGTAATCTCTCTAAATCCGTGCTCTTTGATCAAATTCTTTGTATCTGCTTTAGTCACCACAATGTTCAACTCTTCAAATGTAAATAAATCCAGTCCTATCTGACTATATCCAGATGTATTTACATCCAAGTAATGATTCTCTGAATCTCTGGCAGCTCCCTGTTAAATGCGGTGTATCTTTGGTCTATGAACATCCTCTCTAACATTGATCATGCTATCTAATCCTTTAACATGCTATCATGCGTTCCCGACTATATATATAATCCATAAAGAATATATATATAAATCGCAGACCGGCACTAAATGTGTTATTGATGCGTTTGGATTTGTAATTGTACGTTTTTATCAATGAATAAATATATATATATATATCGATATTGATTAAGATGAAAATGATGGTAAAAATAATGTTGATAGTTTATGAATATGAATCGTAATCGTGTTAACCAGCATTTGTTTTATGTGTTATATATAATGATACATATTAAAGATGGAATATGTAGTAAAAGACTGCGATTCAGTTGAACGGATCGCTGCATTTCATGATTGTACTGTGGGCGAATTGATGAAAATCAATAAAATGACTACGAGAATGGTGATTCAATATTAGCATTATTGTTATTGCTGTTATTATTATGATTGATACACACTATTGCAATAACAACAACGCAGATTATTGTTATAATTTAAGGTGTTCCCAGGTCAGATTCTTCAAGTACCAATGAGTCCATCAAAAGATCAAGCGGTTACTATTACATCATCAACAAATATTATTGGTGACAGTATTATTTCTACCTCGAATAGTCAACACCACACTCTCACCGGTTTGAATAACTATCTATTTGTGATGGCCTTTCTTTCTTGAGCATATTTATTATCAATAGTTGTAATTGAGATTCGGATGGGATAAGAATGGGACCGGGATCAGCAGTATTAATACAACAACGATCATTACCATCACCAGCAAATGTGAATAATACCTCGAAATGTGATTTGTATGACGTAAACGATGATGAAGATGGCGTGCAAAAGTTTTTGAAGATTAAGGTTGTTGTTGCATCTGTTTTATTGTATGATGTGATATGAAATGAATAAATTCGTAAAGGTGAAACAAGTGACCGAGATGGATGGAACGGTGAGCGGTACATTGTTGATAACACCGAATGCATTGATGTTCGACCCAGATGTGACTCATCCGCTTGTTATTGAGAACGGACATGAACTGTACATGGTGATGGCACAGTCAGTGTGGTTATTATTATTGAGTAGTTGTTGTTTATGGGTTTGTTATTGTTGTATGTTGCAGCATGGATGACATTATGTCTGTGGCTGTCTATAAGGATATTGAGGCACTCACTCAAGAAACAGCCGATAGCACTGATATCATCTATGATCCTGATCACCTGAGAACACCACCGCCCTCTCAGGTGATACTTGTTGATGAAAACGATGAACAGTCAGTGTTTTTGGGAACAGTTAAGGTTTTATAGAAAAGAGATATTCAGGATGGCGGTGCATCAACGACGGGATTAATTGAATCCGAGGCTGGGGGATTACCACAAATTGTGGAGGAAAGTGGACATAAATTGTCGGTCGCTGATAAGGAGGATCTCAGTGATAAGGATGTGGATAAGAGTAGCGCTGAGAGGAGAACTGATATCTATTCCTGTCAACACCCATCGACCATCGCTCAACAATACAGATCGCTGTCGGAAACTGAAACTGAAGTAATGAAAGCTTGTGAAAGTGACCAGAACGAGTGCGTTTTTATTACAGATGTGAATGCTTACTGCTTACCCGAATATTGCTTTGCTGCTTTACAACTCTTTACGAATGTTGCGTTTGCTTTCGGTAACGGTAATATCTCTTTCCACGATAAGGTCGGTTGTCACGGCCAATTTATTTTGATTGGTGGCCATCGAGCCGATGTTGAGTCAAAGATTGTGATTGTGAGGTGGTAGTGAGTGCATTAAAGAACTGTTGCATGATGAAAGCCGAGAAATGGTAATGTTGATAGTTAAGAGATAATCAAGTTAATTTCAGAGATGTTTTACCAATGCATTACTCACCTCAACAAAATGAAGATTTCCATCGAACAACAAACAGACGTAGAACTCATTCTGAATTAGACTCAAATCAACCCGTTAATTCCAATAATAGCAATAGTAATAATAGTGATTGCTCTGTATTATCTCGTCACTCGTCTCATTCCGTTTCGTACTCCTCCTCTAGCTCCTTATCAAGACTAGGCCGAAAACTCAGGTGGCTGCTTTTATTGCTTGCACCTTTCATTATATCACATTTATATGCACCTCACCTTACTGCGATGCTTTCTTATCCCTCTCACCTAGCCACTAATTAAACAGTCTTTTAAATTTGCACTTTTCATTTCAATATTCCTCTAAAATTATCTGTATTATATAAATTAGTATTATATTTGCAAATTCAATCGCTCTTCAAAAAATTGAGTTTAAGTGCTCGTGCTCAAAGTATAAGGGGCTCGGTGGCATCAAGTGCTGGAAAGGTGACCCAAACTGCGATGAGTGGCACGAAGAGTGTAGCGCATGGGGTCGTAACTCATACTAAGTCTGCAGCAGGTTGTTTATTAATTAAAATGATAATTGTGGATTTGTGATACATATTGAAAACTGCAGATACGTTACAATCGGGTATTGAAACGAGTGCAAAGATGGCGGCGAAAGGAGTCGATGTGATGACTTCATTGCCACAAGGGATTGTAGCAGTAGGAAGTGGTTTGCTGGAGGGTTTGCAGACGAATGCGGACGATATGAGTCAACAACATAGTGTATTCAATAAAATTATTGATGTGAATGGCTTTGTATGGTTATGTTTGATTGAGCGGTGTGATGTTTAAGGAGGTGCGAAACGAGGCATCTTTGAGACGTGAACAGAGTTTAGCAACGTTGGAAGCGTTGAAACAAAAGACGCAGTTGGCGAGAGAGAGTTTTTTGAGGGGCGATTCGAATTTGACGACGTGAGCTGTTGATTGATATTGATACTGATCTGCTGACTTGCGCGTCCATTTCAAAGTGGTGTTATTGTTGAAGGTTCGCTTGTGCCACAAGTTGGAGTGATATGCCCGAATTATTCAAACCGGTCAATGAGATGATAAGTAAACCAGAAGCATCCAATAACTATTCACAGCAATATATCACCTCACAGCTGCCCTATTACATGATCGTCAAACTCAATAAAAAGAAGAGACATTCTAAATGTTCGTTCATAGTAATTTGTTAGAGATGCATGTTTATTGACACTGTGTTGCATTGAAAGGTGCTTTCTCGATAGGGTCACGTTCGAGTTCGAATGATAATCTGAATAACACCAGATTAACACGACGTGAATTCTGGTTCGCGATTCCACGCAATAAGGCGAACGCTATCTATCAGTTCCTTTTGCAGTGGACTCCCGACAAATATGGACAGGTTGGCATAATTATTGTTATTGTTGTTATTGTTATTATTGTGGTTATCATTGTTATCAGGAGGAGAGTAAAGTGACGTCGTCGATAGCGATTCCGAGGGAGGAATACTGTCAATCGAAAGAGCATGATGATGCCATCGAATTGGCATATTCACTCGGACATGGAAATGGATTTATTGTGCTTGATTCGGATGCAGATGAAAAACTTGTGGGTTGGTGCTTTTTATTGTTTGTTTTGTTGTCAAGAAAGAAGTATTCATTGAAAATCACTTGAATAAACGAATGAAAAATTTGATTGATCGCGTTGATTTTGCGCATTTCACGATGCTTTCATGTGAACAACTTGTTTGATTAGTCAGTTATTTTTGTTGAGTGTTATTATTAGTGTAATAGTTATAATAGTTGATCGTTGGTAGATTCGAAGTATTCGTGATATCACTTCGTTGCAGTCTGTTTCTTAATTATATTGTTATTATATTGTGTGTTGACGAAAGAGTGGTGTTGATCTGTATTGTCATTATTTGAGATGAATATATTACTGTAATGGAGTGTGAATATTATGCAACAAATTATGAGTGGTTATTATCATTCAGTATGAACGCATCTTTTACAACATTTGTCCTTTTCCTTTAATTCATATTTTCTTGAAATTCTGTTCTCTTAAATTCCCATAATATTCTCACCATCACCGTTCGTTCCAATAAATTCCCTCTCTCCTCTCCTCTTTATTACCATTATCAATCAAAAAGTTCCCTTCTGATTCAGTTTGCAGTTCCCTTCTTATATGTTCTATTACTATAATTATAGTATGGACACATATTAAATCCTCACTAACATTTAATGGTTTGTTCTGATTCAGTTAAATGCCCCGACTATAATTACAGTAGCAGTGATGACTAAAACTAATAATAGCATAAGAAGTTTCATCTTCAAAACTGCTTTAAAGAATGAGTAATCGATTGATAACGTGTTACAAAATGATTGTTTTGTACAAATTAGTGATACAATACAATATTAGTATTTGATTGCTTGGCGAAACGTATATTTTAGATCACTTGTGAGTAGAAAATTAGATAACCGTATTCTTCAAGAGTGAATCTTGATCTTTTTTATGCATTGATTCACCCATGAAACCGTTTTTTAGCTCTGCCAGTCTGATTCGCTCACTAAAGTGTTCTCTCTCTCGCATTTTTCCATTGAAAGATGTCATTGTTTGTGTTGTGTAATTTGTGGAATACGCAAAAAATGATTGAATTTAGGATCATAATAATTGATTGATTGACAAAGACATTGATTGATGGTGTGAGTAATATACTTGCACATGAATGAATTATAATATGTATCGGTCAAAGTCATGCAACTCTTCTAAATTCTACCCTCCTCCAATACTGCATACTCTGTGCCCACAATTCGATAATCACATCACGATTACGAACGCAAGTCAATTAACTGCTTTTATTGCTGAACAACGTGCGAAGAGTCGAGCAACTCCTGACAAGAGACATGACGAGGGATCATCGTTGAGGAATAGATCGAACGGATCGAGTGAGCACGGCTCGGTCATCAATGAGAATGTCGATGAGGTGAAACAGAAAAGGGAAGTTGAACGGTACACGGGGTCGGTTGATCGATATGATGAGGCTAGTCATAAGTCACGTAAACGTTCTCTGCACAAGTCGTTCAAGAAATTGCGTCAGCGAGCATTCTCGACACCATCTTCACTTAAGAAACTCGCTGATATAAGCAGTGGTTTGTATATATATATATATATTCATTGTGTGATCTGCACTCGCATTGAAATGAAATGAGGTTTGGTCGTAAGTCAGGTTCATCCAAGAAGAGTGAAGGAGGTGGTCATCTACAAATGCTGTCATTACTGAACTCAGTTAATGAAGAGTGCTATTTATCATCATTAGTAAATGTCCTTGAATTTATTCAGACTCAGTTGTCTTTTGATTTAACGTTAACTTTTTGTATAGGCATTGATCATCACATTTGTTTTATTTTTTGCTGATCCAAAAATGACTTCAGTAGTCAATTTGATTGAATCTAGGAGAGAAACCACCAACACCAGTATTTGGCAAGGGGAGTCTGAACAGAGAATGGGAGATAGTGACTGTAGAGGAGATGTGCAGAAGGTTGTCGTTGTCTTGTATCGACCAGATGCTGATGCCGATACCGGATGGAGCGAGTGAATCACAGATTCTGGATGAGGACATGATCAGAGAGGTACATTATTGTTGATATTAGCGTCGTGATCGGTTAGCCTCATTAATCAGACTGATACTCAGCATTTCAGATCATGCAGATACTACCTGCTCGAGCTGAGGGATATCCATGGGTCAATATTTATAATTCTGAGAAACACGGATTCTCATTGCATACTTTTTATAGGTACATACTTCATCTTTATTTTGATGTTGATCAATCAAATAAAAAGGATGAAAATTAAAGAAAGATGATGGAATGGGATGAGGATATGTCGCCGATATTATTAATTATTCGTGACTGTCAAGATCATGTATTTGGTGGTATTGCGAGTAGTGCGATTAGACCGTCGGAACACTTCTTTGGAACTGGAGATTCGAGTTTATTATTCAAATTCGTTAGCAATACACATTCTGATGAGAAGTTGGTGGTTTTGATTTATTGTTATTGTTACTGCTTTATAAAGTATTGATTTTGTTGTTGCAGAGAGTTAAAGTCGTTTAAATGGAGTGGAGATAATCAGTACTTTGTGAAAGCGAATAAGGATTCATTGATAATGGGTGCGGGAAGAGGACATTACGGAATATGGCTGGATGCAGATCTGAATTACGGCAGATCGCAGAGATGTGATACGTTCAAGAACGAACCTTTAGCCGGTGACTTCGAGGATTTTAACATTCAGTTTATCGAGGCATTTGGATTTAAAATGGTGTGACTGGGATGTGTTCTTTTGATAAATCATATTGATTGTTCATGGTGATGGAATGTTGATGGCTGAGTTGATATTGTTGGTGCTGTTTACGCTTAGCTGAGATTCTTATTATTGTGGCATTCTGTTAAGTATTATTATTATCTCGTGATCATTCCATTCATCATTCTCTTTAGTGTATTTGAAATAATACTTATTGTTTTGAGTTCATTTATTCGTTTGTGTATATTCTGTCAGATTGTATATTATTATTGTCTTATTCAGATGCATTTTAAAAGTTTATTTACTTACATAGCTTATGTGCAGTATTTGTTCGCAGAATGAACTGAAGTATTTTTAAGGTGATAATGGGTCAGGCCAATTCAGATGTTGCATGTTCTTTCGTCATTGTAAACGAATTCATTCTTTCATTTTATTTCGAAACGGAATTTGTATTCTTAGACTGCTAACTTATTATTATTATTACGAAGTTTGAGTTGTCAGTTTCATCTGTTCACTGACAGTCAATAGTTTTGTTTATTTGAGTTATTGTGAAGCATTTTGTTCGATTCGTTGTACAAATCTTTCAGTAAAAAAACAATTTTGGATGTGTGTCGGTAAATAACGTTTCTTGCGTTTGCTTGATATAGCATTCATTTGAATGACATGTTCAGTTACTTTCAATTGATGGATGCTATTACTACATTTTCATCAACATTTCCCAATTTGTGCTTTCAATCTGTGCAATGCGATTTTTATTTTTGCAATTTCTTCCCTTGAGACCATGTCTGGATGCGAAATGCCAAAATGCTATTTACCGATTGTTTTGTACGGTTTGGGGCAGCGCATCAGGGGCGGAGTTTGTTCATATACTCTTGTCACTGGATAGTTTCGGATGTGAACAATT